TTTTTTTTTAACATTTCATTTTTGTGCATGGTACTTCTCAATTTCTTTTATTTTTTCTATAAAGTTAAAAGAGTATGCGAACCGCATATATTTAGCACAAAGATTTCGTTATAACTCGTTATAACTCCATAATTTTCTATGCATATTTGTAAGGCTTCAGTTTTTAGAGATAGTTGTTAAATGGTTACCTGGAAGTTGAATTCCACGCTAAGAATTTGTATGTGAATTCGGAGAAGAAACTTTGGTCCTAAGAAATGTCTATAAGTTCAACGATTAAAAGAAGAGTAAAGAGGAGCTGGATTTATATTGATAGGAATCGAATATACAAATGTGGTCTCGAGTGAGACGTGTTACAAGCTTAAAATATAGTGTTCTAGCTCTCGCATAGGTAAAAAATCTGCTCGGATCCCTTCTATTTATAGCTCAGCTCAGCTCCTTCATCCAGCTCCACTTCTCCAGGGCGGTTCCGCGTATCTCGGGCACGTTCTCGGCATATTCCCAGCTCGTTAGCTCCGCACTCCTTGGCTGAGTCTTCTGCGGGGCTGACTCTGGGCTTTGACCGAACCGTGCCTTTATTATCTCGAGGCTGGGCCGCAGGCCCATCGGATTCGGTCAACCCTTTTATAAACAGAGGATTTTAACTTGGACTTCTAGCGGGCCGGATTTGGTGTCAAATCCATCCCCAACAGTTGCCCCCAGCCCATTAAATATTAATTACGAGTATTTAATGAGCGGTTCATTCATCATTACTACGCGGCTCTGACTCGTCATCCGGACCGTACATCTCTGATCCAACGGCTGCAATTAAGGGAAGATAAAAAATCAGGGCGCTGAAACACCGGCCTATACACTATGATGTCATAAACAGCGATTTAATCTCTTATCTTGGGACCCACCACTATTAACCGTTCGCTTTCTTCAGATTGGACTATTGTCACTCTTTGTTGGTTCTAGATTGGACTTGAGTTTTGGTGTCGTTGGCTCGAGTGTGTGTGCAGCCCCGTCTCACCTCTTCAACGTTGTGAGTCGCAGTGGGTCTTGTCTATGAGATTCATTGGAAGGAAGACTCTTGGCTTGTTTGGTGCTCGAGTTGTTCGTTTGGTTCATTAATTTTGGCTTTAGAGTGTTTGGTCCCCTAGTTTTTCTGTGGCTTATGGTCTTTTTGTCTGAGGATCTTGTTATAGCTCCTCCTTCGTATTTCATTTTCGTAATTTTTTTTGTATTTTAAAAAACGTATCCCAACTTTGTTTGTTACGGTGTTTAATATAATATTTCAGATGAAAAAAAAAATACTATGCATTATACAATCTCACTTCATCATTTTACTGTGTTCTTATCCGAATCTCCACGTCACTTTCTTTTAGCTTTCTTGTCCTATTCCACCAAGAGTTAACACATCCTTAAACAATCGAAAATAGCGACAGATTAGTGATATGGAATGTTTGGCTACGAAATGATGCTAAATTAATGGTTTTGGACCTTTTGGGTACATTTCCCAACGGCTCCCATTAGATTTTATATAATCATTTGGTTTTAGTATTTAGACACTCCGTGTAATTTTGCAATATAACATGTATTAGGGAAATCTTGTTTTGTACACGACAGACTCCAGAATAAGTATTAGGAAAGGCGTTAGGCAAGAATTAAAACCCTAACAAGAGTAGTAAACAATTATTGAATATACAGCATCAAAGAAACCAAGTCATGCACTATGTGAAAATTCATACATAATTCATAGATATACAAATCAAAATTGTATGTACTTATATTCCCGTCTGTAAGAAAAATTATTAGTTGAATTGGATAATTGATTAGCTGGAATCAATATTCAAAACTTTGCTAATTTTATCAAAAGAAAAAAAAAACTTTGCTAAGCACTAATCGGATATTTTGAGTGCACCTATCTCACACATGAATATTAATGTAAAATATACAACTTATGATACTTTTCAAAATATTTTTTTTTAAACATAACCAAAATAAATTTATCGATTGACTAGACCGATTAATCGGATGTTAGTAAAAAACCGTTTTGTTTTTTGTAGACCGTATTTTAAGAGATTTGGCTAAAATTATTGCATCCATATAATTTGACTTAATGATCCAGTTTTCAAAACAAAATCTGGAATCATCTCAATGAAATTGAAGAGAAAAAAGGAAGAGGACTTGATCCAAAAAGAGAAGAGAACAAAATCAAAATGGATATGAATTGTTATGCATTTCAATTAAAATTGCTGATAAATTTGAATTTAAAGAAAAAAGTGGCAGACAAAAGAGTGAAGCAAAGTTGACAATTGAAGTTTGCAAGCGTGAACATGAAACTGATGTCTTATCATTTATTCCACGCTTCATTGTCTTTTATTTTTTTGTTATGAGATGTTATAATCTTTAGTTTTGTAATATTTTTCAGTTATTAACAATTTACTGTATGTAATGATGTCATTATTGTAAATCGTACTATATCATAGGGCCGTATCTCTCTAGTCGATTGTAAGATAAAGGTATACAGTTTAAAATGATAAAGATATACAGTTTAAAATGATAAATATCATACAATAGTGGTATGAAGATAACCCTTAAAATTTGGGAGATTAGCTAGAATAACTTTTTTTTTTAAATAGCTAAAATAAACTTACTATTTTTTTATTGCTGAAATAACTTATTTTAGATTTTTTTTTTCTTTCATAATACCAAAATTGTCCTTCGCAGACTCTGCCGAGGTATTGGCAGACTCTGCCGAAACATTTGCAGACTCTACCGATGTATTGGCAGACTCTGCCTCTGCCAATATTTAAAAATACGCAGACTCTGCCGAAACATTGGCAGACTCTGCCGAAACATTGGCAGACTCCGCCAAGGTATTGGCAGACTCTGCCAAGATATTGGTAGACTCTGCCGAAACATTGGCAGACTCCACCGAGGTATTGGCAGACTCTGCCGAGGTATTGGCAGACTCTGCCGAATCATTGGCAGA